ATAATAAATGTTTTGAAATAAATGAGAGAACTTACAGGGTCTGTACCTTTTACGGTACAGTGTGGAAAAATGAGGGAATCCACATTGCTCACATTCAGGAACAAGGATGATAAAATAAATGAAAGAAGAGCTTGTGATTCCCAGTTATCATCTGCTGTCTAGTGGAACTGGGAAGCACTTTGAAGAGATTAGGATAAAGACTAATGCCAAGTAATACCGAATGCAGTTGAATAGCACTTTGTGGCCTCTAGGCTCATTAGAAACCATATGAGCAAATTCTTTATGAAAAGAGGAAACTCTCAGAACAAAAGTGGGACTTCTATTTTAGGCTGGTTTAGGAAACAGAAAAACAGAACAATAAACCAGAGAAATTCAACTCTGGTATCACAATATTTTGCACTAAGAATGATGTGCTTCTTTCATTTTACCTCTTCTTAGTAATTGAAAAACTATAGCACTTTACCACACTGATTTTCAGCAAATGGTGTTTGCAGCATTGCTATCCACTGCAGAAAATAATCAATGTATTACCTTCCATTTAAAGTAGACATGGAAAATATAAAACTGCTGTATGGCAAAAGACATAATGAACTAAAAGATAAATGACAGGGGAGAATCAAGATGGCACAGGATTGAGTGGAAGTCACACTGACCTCTTCCCAGGACCAATCTGGAATTACAACTAAATTGTGGAGAAATCACCTGAAACAAACAACTGAACAATAGCGAGAGAGGAGCCTTATAACCTTGGACAGACAGAAGAATCAGTTTTAGCACAACCTAACTGGTAAGGTATGCAGTAGAGACTCGAGGAGGCAGGCGGGGCACCCACAGGCGGCAGCGCCAGAGGAATATTGAAATGGCCAGTTGGATCCCCTTGAGAAGAGTGGGGTCTAAACCATAAGCGAGGATCTCTGCCCTACAGCACCAGAGCCCAAATTGTACACAGATAACAGCCAGCTGTGAAAAGCCACAAGGTTGATCTCAGCCGGAGACAGGCAGCTAGAGACTCAAAAAGCTGTTTAAAGGGCCAATGCATAAGTTTTTATTTGTAGCCACTTACCCTGGTCTCAGACATATGTGGGGGCAGAGTGGGCTAGAGACACCTGAGGAGAGACTGGGAAAAGAGACTTTGGGGAGAGAACTGAGGGAGTATCTGGAGGGATCCTGATGCTGACTCATCCCCCAGATGGCAGCAGCCATCTTGCTTGGGCAGACCACTCTGAGCAGCAACAGTGTGAGATGACTCAATAGCCCCACCCCCAGGAGGGACTCTGTCCTGCCCTGTGGCGTCTAAGCTGATCTGCTGAGTGCAGAGTGACTAGATTAACAGCTGAAGGAGACAGCCACAGAGAGCAGATTCCTGGAAGTCTCGAACAGACTGCCTAAGGTCAGACACGGTCAACATCTGACATCATCAGAGGCAGATTCAGAAAGGAAAAAAACAGCGGTCTCCTACCATAGGCGTTCACACCACAAAGTCAGGAAATCAAGGCAGATCAATTTAAGAAGCAGAAGCAAAAAGAAGAGTCTCACAAATAATGGGAAGACAAAGAAACACCCCCCAGTCGAAGGGAAAGGAGGAATCCTCAGAAGAAATCTAAATGAAATAGAGTAAACTGTCAGATACTGAGTTCCAAACAACAGTTCTAAGGAAGCTCAATGAGCTCAGTGAGCTTAGAGAGAATTACAAAAAACTACAGGGAAACTACGAGGAACTACTGCAAACTATATCAGCATGAAAAAGGACATAGAAACTATCAATAAAGGACAAGAGGAAATGAAGAATACAATTTCTGAATTGAAGAACTCAGTAGAAGGAATCAAAAGCAGGCTAGATGAAGCAGAGGAACAAATCAGCGAGCTGGGGGACAAGGTAGAAAAAGTTCCCAGAAAGAGCAAGAAAATGGAAAAAGACTCAAAAAGAATGAAGAGGCATTGAGGGAAATGCAGGACAGCCTGAAACGTAATAATGTCCATATAATAGGGACACAAGAAGGAGAAGAAGAGGAAGAAGGGATAGAGAACCTGTTTGAAAAAGTAATGATGGAAAACTTCCCTAAATGGAGGAGAGAAAAAGTCACACAAGTGCAGGAAGCACAGAGGGTTCCATTCAAGAGGAACCCAATGAGGCCCACTCCAAGACACAACATCATTAAAATGGCAAATAGCAAAGACAAACAGAGAATCCTAAAGGCAGCAAGGGAGAAAGAGGCAGTAACATACAAGGGAGCCCCGGTATGGCTAGCAGCTGACTTCTCAAGAGAAATGCTACAAGCCAGAAGGGAACGGCGAGAGAGATTCCAAGTCATGAAAAGCAAGGGCTTGCAACCAAGACTGCTTTACCCAGCAAGGCTCTCAATTAAAATGGAAGGTGAAATAAGGAGTTTCCCTGACAAAAGAAGGCTAAAAGAATACATCTCAAGCAAACCAGCATTGCAAAATAAGCTAAAGGGACTACTTTAAGAAGATGAAGAAAAAGAGTCTATGAATATCCAGTTCCTTTCACAGTCACCAATACTTGATATTACTGACATTTTAATAGTTATTAATCTGATTGTGACAATGATGTGTTATTTTCATTGTTACTTTATTATTTGTTGAAACTAAACCTGTTTTTGTCTATTTCTTGCCTATTTCTATAATTTTTTAAAAAGCTTTAAATGAGAGTTTGGTATTCTTTATACATTTTTTTATTGTTTGTAGAATTTTTTCCCTAAAAAAAATGATTAACCCTTTTATAGATGTGTTTCTAACACTTTCCGATCCTATTACTTGTTATTAACCTTTTTTGTATGTATATTTCTAAACCATCTTAAATGTTTAATATAGTCGTATTTTCAGTATTTTACTTTATAGCTTCTGGGTTTGAATATTTTACTTTAGGTTAAGACAAATATTATTTTGTATTTTCTTCTAAAACTGCTTAAATTTTACATATTGATTTTTAACTCACCTGAGTATTTGTTGTATAATGTGTGAAATAGAGCTCTACATTTATTTCAAGTAATAGTGATTCATGCACCTTATTTGTTGAATAAGCCTTATTTTCCCCATTGATTTGAAATATCAATTTAATCATATATTATGTTGTTAGATAGATATGTTTGTTTCTAGAATGTTCATTTTATTTCATTGATCTACTTAATCATTTCTGTGCTGTTATCATGTTGTTTTAATTGCTGAGACTTTATAATGGATTTAAATTTTTAAATATTTTTTAATGGATCTTGACATTTAAAAAATAAATAAATAAAATCAATCTGCATTTAAAAAAAAAGAAAGGAACTCCTACCTTTTGTGACAACATGGATGGAACTGGAGAATATTATACTAAGTGAAATAAGCCAGTCAGTGAAAGACAAATGCCATATGATCTCACCTATAGGTGGAATCTATTCAACAAAATAAACTAACAAACAGAATAAACCAGAGTCATGGAAACATGGAGCAGACTAAAAGTGACCAAGTGGTTGGGGAAGGAGGCCAATGGTGAAAAGACAGAGAAGGGACTAAATAAAGAACATGTATGAATGACCCATGGATGTGGACAACAGAGTGGGAACCGACTGTGGAGTGGGGAGCGGTGTGCGATGGGTGGAGGAGGGCAAGGGGAAAAAATTGAGACACCTGTAATAGAATAAACATGATTTAAAAATTGAAAATTAAAAAAAGATAAATGACAATATGTGTAATTTTAACATGTGACAAAGGGTTAAAATTCTTATAATACTGCGTAATAAACTCTTACAAATCAGTAAGAAAAAATAAAGACACCTCAGTAAGAAAAGGTCAAAGGATATGAAAAGATAACACAGGAAGAAATGCAAAGGCTAATCAACATGCACTAGTGCTCAATTTCAAATTAAAATGTGAATTAAGATTTCGCACCATTTTTAACCTAGTAGATTGACAAAGGCATTTTTCAAAATAAATTTTAAAAATAAGTTCAGTTCTTCTTTTGGAATGGATTTATTCAAGGGAAATGAGACTTGGGTTCAAAAATAGATGTGCAAGTATGTTTGTTATAGAATTGTTTATAAGTATAAAAATTGGAATTTCATCTAGCAATTGAGACTTGGTCAAATCAAGGTGTCTATATATATTTTCATTTAGCAATTCTGCTAGAATATACCCCTTTGAATAGTCAATAAACCCAACATTTTTTAGAGACACAAAAGATGTTTATTTCAGCACTTTGAAAAGGTAAAAATGGTACAGTACACCCACATAAGGAAGAAAAGAACTGCACATTAATGATCACGTTTATGCATCCACATATTATGTGTATACACTAATGAAAATTGATGAAAGGGTAGTTTATAGAATACTAAGCAGCTGTCAAGAAAGGAGTTTTATATTTTTATATGAAACTGTGACCATATATTAAAAGTAGAAAACTCCGTAATTGTACATAAATGTCCCTACTTACGTAAGTATATAAGGTTGTTTGGAGATATTCTGGAACAACAGCACTTTGACCATGGACACCCTAATAATTGATTTGATGTTATTTGACCTGAGATTTGGTTATGCAAACACTTGCATGAATAAAAACTTTGACTTTACCTTAGAAAAGCTCCTAATTCTAGTTTTTTTCTACCTAAGCAGGAAAGGCTCAAGACCAGCCTGGAGCTACAAAAGGCAAAGACAGCTGAGTCAATCAGCAAGTCTCACAGAGCTACTTTGCTCAGCTTCGTATTTTCAAGCGACCCTTTAATTACAAATGCTTCTGGGCCTGTAGGTTTGCAAGTGGTTGGTTCTTAGTTCGCTTCAGGCCCTCTCAGCCGGAGGCCCGGTCCATGGAGGACACTCATCAAGCCATTTCCAAACCTTGGCTACCACACACTGCGAAAAGAAAACTGGAGAGTGCAGCTAGGATCTCAGCCAATACCTGCAGTTTTACTCTCGGCCCCCGCAACTCCGGACCAATGGGCGGTAGACTATCTCTTGCTCCACCACTGTTCTTTTCTAGCCAATAGGAAACATTCTTCAAACGCCTCTCTCTAAAACGCGCAGGCTCCGCCGAAGCCCGCTGCGCTTCCCGACGGCTGCTGGGAGCGCTGCACCGTTGCCATGGCGACCATTTTACGTTAACTAGTTCGTAGCTTTCATCCAGAGTGACTGCGGGGGCAGCTCCTCACCCATTCGCTCTCGGCTCCCTGCGGCAGAAAGGCCTTAGCTGGCTCCGGGGGTCGGGCCCAGCGTTCTTTGGCGCTCTGCGGGGGCGGGATGGCTGCGGAAGAAGAGGACGAGGTAGAGTGGGTGGTGGAGAGCATCGCGGGGTTCCTGCGAGGCCCGGACTGGTCTATCCCCATCTTGGACTTTGTGGAGCAGAAATGTGAAGGTAAAAACCGGAACCTTAACTGACAGTCTTTTCTCGCCTTTTTCTCATCGGCAGTCGTCAGGGAGGTGGTCCGCAGAAACCATCTCCATCTCTCCGGTCTCCACCTCTGTCCGCCAGGTTTAGAGCTGGGTTTGTAGGTTTTGCTGTCACTACGCCAGTGTTTTCTTTGACAAAACTGAAAACGGGGACCGAGCCTCCCCTCCCTCTGGGCCCAAGCACATATCCAAAAAGCATTAGACTTTAACCCCGTGTTCGGTCCCTTTCCCAATCCTGCAAGTTTCTGCTCTGAGCAGGTGCACTGTTTGGATGGGCTTCTTCAACAACTTCTCCAGTGGCTTACGGGGGAGAGAGGTCAGTGTGCCTCTGAGTTCCGTCACATCCCAACAGTTGACCGCAGAGAGGGGCGTGTGAATACTGCAGGCCTAGAACCGGTAATCCTGGTGGTCTGTATTCATTTTATTGAGCTCTGACTGTCTGCTATACCCAAAATGGGTGCTGGTGGTGTATCCTCTAACAAATGAGGCACATAAATGTGGCATAATATTCCCTGTGAGGGAAGGTCATCACCAGGTTCTGATCAGTTCACACTTGGAGTTCTGCATTGGAGTCCTTGGGGACAAATTAGGAACCAGAAGTCATGTCCTAGAAATGAAAGCCCCGCTGTTATCGTGGTTGTTTAGCCAGGCAAGACTTTGATGGTAGTAATATCCATTAATCACTTGAACTTCTTTCTTGCGCTGGAGGGATTGACCTGTTTTGTAAGGTTCAGTGGGTATAGCTAGCGTCAGTGGGTTCAAGCTACAGCAAACACAATGCATCCCACGTAAGTTAGCCTTCCTCAGAAGGTATTGAGCTCACCAGGCAGTAGCAGTGTTTTAATGCATCTAACAGCAATTTAGTGGAAATGTTACAAAGGGGGAATTCAGCTGTCAAATGATTGGTTTTGCTGGATGACCTGTAAGAACCCATTCAACCTTAAGATTTTATGAATGTGGTAGAGAGGAATTTTAGTTTTACCACTGAATCTTTTCATTACATTCTCATTACAATAATTGAAGTTCAATAGTATTATATATTGTTTTTTACAGGTAATTTGTAAAGAAATTAAAAATAACATGTATTTGTGCTCTTTTTAAGAATTTATTATGCTATTATGAGACTGATAAAGTGTGTGGAATTCTGACCTCTTTTACAAGAAAAAGAAATCCTGTCATCTTTTGATTCCATTTGCTCCACTGTGACTAAATGCTGAAATGGAAAAAAATTCCAGCCTTGTTCTTCCTTTTTGATCCCCAAACATCTAAAGTGGCCACATGTCATTGTGTGATTTTTTCCCCCCACAGGGAAACAGTAATCCTCACCTTTATAAACATATAGTGTAGTAATTTGGTTTCCGAAATAACTGAGAACAGCTGCTGTATTACATGTGTGCCCATTGTTATATGGAGCAGAGCCTGCGGAAATGAAAGTACCATCCCAGTGATCCTTGAAATAACAGTCTTTATATTTCACTGACTGTGGGTTGTCAATGTGCTATTCACCACCTTGAATATTTAAAGAATAGTTTTGTACAACTTTGTGATATCAGCATTTATTTCAACAAACATTGATTGAGTGCCCTTAGGCCAGAAGCTGGGGATAGAAAAGATGAATCAAACAAAATCCTTATGCTTGAGAAATTTATAATTTAGTGGTAAGACAGGCAGGTAAATTGAATTTAAATATAAATGTCAGGTGCTATAGTAAAGGTAGGCACATGGTGCTATATTATAAGGGTTCAGAGCAGGTATGTAACCAGTCTCAGAACTGGGAGTGGGTAGGAGATCATGAAGAGTGTGCCACCTACAATGTCTTGAAGAATGGTTGGGACAAAGTAGGCCAGGTAAAGGCAAAAAGATCTAGTACTGGCTTGAGTAAAGACATGGGGGTTTGAAGTACCAACTGTGTTATAGTTGATGTTATTCCAAGTAATCGTATTGTTAAGAGCGTAGAGATTGGGTGTTGGAGTGCTGAGGGAGAGACTTGGGATCCTATTTTGGAGGGTTTTGTCTAGACAGCTAAGGATTTTGTACTTACTCTTAAGCAAAGAGCAGCTATTCAAAGAGTTTTAAATAAGAAAATTACTGAAGTTAGTTTTCCATTTTTGAAAGATTGGGGGTTTAAAAAAGTTTATTATTTTTAATTCTTGAATTTGTCCTGTTTCTCTAATTAGATTGTTAACTTCTTGAGGAAATATGTATCTTTATAATCTACATTGTTTCACACATATGATTTAGTAAATGTTTATTTTGGTTTTATTTATTTTAACTTCAGTATTGATTCATATGTAACAAAATTGGCCTAATCACTTATAGTAAAATTTTCATCAGCAAAGGTCCAGTACTGTAAAATAATCTGGAGCCTATTGTAAAAGGAATTAATGTTTAAAAACTATTAATAATATTCCATTAAAATTGTATAAAGAAATTTGTTGCTTTATATTACTGATTGAAAATAACAAATTAGTGTTTGTCTTACATATGAAGTAGATTTTAAGGAGAAAAAATAACTTGTTTACAATGAATACTATACACACACACAGGGGTGGGCAGTAGTAGGTTTCAGATGTTTGTATGAAAAGTAATACTGGTATAAACTCTGTTTCATGTATTCAAACTGTAAACCTACTTTTGTCTACCCCTGAATAGAATGTATGTATAAGTATCAATATACTTGTATCAATATATACCCAAGTATATATTTATAAGATAAAAGGAGTAGACTTTTATATTAGCATTAATGAAATGACTTTTTATATAATATTTTTATCTTAAATTTAGTTTTTGATGATGAAGAAGAAAGCAAATTGACTTACACAGAGATTCATCAGGAATACAAAGAACTAGTGAGTATTTTTTCACTGATTTTTAAAGGTAATTAGAATGATAGTAATTTTAGCTTTTCTAAATTAAAAAATGGATTTGTCCATTAAAATTCTTTTATTTAAAAAAATTCAATCTACCCTCACAGTACTGCCAGTTGCATCAGGCTCCAAGGGTTCTCCCAGCATCTCTTTCTTATGACTTCTTATCTCTTCTAGTCTACGATCTAAGGAATGGATTTGGGACAACTATGTTAAGGGATCTTGCATCTAATTTTTAAATTTTTTTCTTCTTATGCTGATGCATCCAGGGAAGTGTTCATTATTAATTTAGTCAGGGTTGTCTTGTGGTTTTAAAAAATCACTCTGAGTAGCAGAAGAGTTGTACTTCACCAAACTTCATAATCCTGATTTCAGTTATTTTTAGTAGAGGAAATAAAATTTCATTTGATTCTCTGCAAAAATTTTATCTTTTTGTTGTTTGCTTTTTTAATGAAAGACATTGTCATTGCCATGTGATATAATTTTATGTAGATTAATAATTGCAAACAAGTGTTTGATTATACTTTTCTAAACTTAACATGAAAACTGTCATTTTGAATTTTTCTATGTAAATTATAAAAGATACACTTTTTTTTCAGGTTGAAAAGCTTTTAGAAAGTTACCTCAAAGAAATCGGAATTAATGAAGATCAATTTCAAGAAGCATGCACTTCTCCTCTTGCAAAGACCCGTACATCACAGGTTTTTGCTTCTATGTTATTCCATAACAAATAGTGATAGTTTTGACAAAAATGCCCAGGATTTCGCTTAAACTTGCTGTGTTTGATTGTCAAAGTATAATATTCTTGACATTGTACTAATTCATCATTTGAGTTCTTTTTTATAACTACTTTGGTTAATGATAATTTGAGACATTAATGAACTGATGAAATTAGAAAAGGAGTTTCTGAACTTAGAACTATAAGAGATGAAAGGGTTTATCCGAACTACTGTTTTATTTATATAGATTTCTGACAGTTTTGCAGTAGTCCCTTTTTTAATGTTAGCAAATCCACAGTACACAGTTCCTGGGGCTTCCGTCTCTTGGTTCTACTTTTATTGTCTTATTAGTTCCACAGTGCTGGGCTGAAGTAGGTATCATATATATTTATAACCAATATTTACTGAAAGCTCAAGTTAGTTGCTTCTTTTAGGCACCTGATATATATTATCTCAGTTAATTTTCCTGACATCCCTTAAGAAATTGGTGCTATTTTACTTCCATTTAGAAATGAGAAAATTAGTGCACAAATACATTAAGCAACTAGTGCAAAGTCTACAGCCAAGCAGTGGAACCAAGACATCAGCCCCGGCACGCCACCTGAAGAGCCCCTTGCTCAGAGGCTGAGGATAGGGCTATGTTACTACTACCAAATAGCATTGTTCTCAAAGAGTTGCTTTAGCTTTCCAGCATCCACCAAATAAACTATAATTCCTTAGTGAGATGATAATGAGGACTGTCTATATGTGACCAGAAATTACGTTTTTAGTCATCTTCTCCTGCTATAGCTTTCCAAGAATGCACTACAGTCATTCCAGACCACTTGCTCTTAAAAGCATTCAAGCACCTGGCTTTGCTTATGCTATTCCTTTACTCTAGAATGTTTGTCCCCCACCACCTCACCCTACCATCCCTTCCTTACCCTGAAAAATCCTTCTCATCATCAGGGCCTGGCTTAAATGTTACTTCTTAAGGCAGCTTTCCCGATTGCTCTAGTCTGACTAGCGCTCATTCTGTCTCTGTGGGCACTTCCATTTTCAGTACTTTGTCTTGATTTAAGAGCTTCCTACAAGTCTGTTTGCTTTACTAGATTGTAAGTCCTTTGGGCTGTTTTAGTATCTTCGTATTCCCAGCAACCCCTAGCAGAGAGATGAGAACTTAGATCCTAATAGGTAGTTCTTAGTTATTGTTAGCTTAAATTATCTTTTTATTGCGGCTCTTCTAAGAGCTTGCTTTGACTACTGTTCAGTCCAGCACTTCCTGCTATAGTTCTCTTTTGTACAACTTTTGCTCATTGATCACATCTAATTCTAGAGATAGACTATCTTTAATATAACGACATTTAAAGGAATATTAAATGTTATTGGTATGCCCACACTAATGTGAACAACATGATTTTATTAGTTAATTCTATAAAATAAAAGTTGTTTTACAGTTCACCAATAGCTTTTATTCAATATACATCATAGTTTTAGTTTAAGACATTTGCATTTGTTTTTATTTTTCTAGTTTTTCAGGAATATTTTCTGCTTTGTTTAATATTTTTCAACATCGTAATTAAGGTATTGTGAATGAGTCTGAATTACTGTGTGAAAAGATCTTCACAGTAATATTAGACACATCCATCTTTTGTTTCTGTTATCAGGATAACTTTAAATTATTTGTGTATGAAGATGTCCAGAATTTTAAAATTTTGTTTTCATATCAAGAGTAACACATCTTTCTCTTTTGTTCTGTCATACACCACCTTTTGATTTATTTGGAGTTGATTGGTACAAGGAGGCAAGCCTTTTGACGCAGACAGACCTGGATTTGAATCATAGATCTTTCATTTATTAGCTGTAAGACCACAGACAAAAGATGTTTTATAGTTTTCCCTGCTTATCCATTCTGATTCTAAATTTCTACATCTATAAAACCAGGATAGTATCTACTTTGAAAGGTTTTTGTGAAATTTAAGACATAATATTCATAAATCAGCACAATACCTGACATATATAAGGTGGTCTATAAATGGAAGTACCTCTCTTAATTATCAGTAGCTATTTTGGTGGTTGATTAGCATTGCGCTAATCGGGCCAGGGTCATGGGTTCAATCCCCATGTGGGCTAGTTAGCTTTATTCTCTTTTGGAGCAAACCCCTAGCACCAGATACTGAATAGCAACATGATCAAATCAACCAAGGCCATCACCATTACCAGAAAAACAGTTCAAAGGATGTTGTATGTTGCTTTGCAACAATCATATCATATTTATACATAAGGTCAGAATGCTAATTCCATTATGCCCATTATGGGGTGCATAAGAATGGATTTAAGAAACCAATTGCTTGCCCTAGATAATTTAGGAGGTAATTTTTGTTTTGTTTTGCTTGATTTGATTTTGATTTTTAAACCAGTTGCCAGCTCCCATTATATTGTATTGCTAAAGCCACCTTGAAAGATTCTCTTCAGCTGGTTTAGTTTGGTCATCATTAGACCTAAACCACTGGTCCTGGATACTCTTTGAATATTAAAGTAAGCAAGAGTAGTAAGGGTCTAATGACCTTAATGAGCCCTGACTGGGTTGTTCAGTTGGGTAGACTGTTGTGTTGGTACACGAAGGTTTGGGGTTTGATCCCCAGTCATGACACATGCAAGAATCAACCAATGAATGCATAAATAAGTGGAAAAACAAATTGATGTTTCTCTCTTATCCCTTTCTCTCTCTAAAATCAATAAATAAAAGTTAAAAAAAGTAATCTTAATGAAATGAAGAACAGTAGTTAAAAAAGAAAAGAATAAAAAGACTTTGGAAGAGCATGTTTTCGTTATACAAGTCCATCCAGAGAGTATCCATCCAGGTAATACGAAAAATAGAGACATTTATTGAAGAAGGTACAAGATAAAAGAAACATTGTACACAGGACCATGACACCTCATTCCCCTTCTAAGTTACGGCCTTCTTGAGAAAATCTGGTTCATTGGTAGCTGTTTGAATCAAGTCATTAGCAACTGCAGCACAACATTCCTTCTGTTCTGATAGCAGAAGCTGCGGAACAAATTTTGCCATGACATGTTTCATGCTATGATCCTGAGTCAAAATCTCAGATACTAGTTTTTGGAATCCCGAGACCAGATTCTAGTTATTGCAGTGTCAGTAGCTGATCTTTGTTGATTGCAGCCTGTACACATTCAATATTCTCAGGGGTTCCGCTTGTTGCAGGCCTTCCTGCAATGGATCACTTTCAACAGATTCTTCACCATCTTTGAAGCGTTTGTGCCACACTTTTATTTGTGCTGCACTCACTGCATTGTCCCGAAATACTTCTGAGTCATCCAAATAGTTTCCCTGAAGGAATGTTCAAGCTTAATACAAAATTTGATGCAGATTTGTTGCTTCGCTTGCTCAGTCATTTTGAATGTGACCGCTGTACAGTACACATGCTCACTCAACAGTGTCTGCTTCTCCCCACTGACTAGTACAATGAAGTCATCATTGTTCACACTTGTGCATTCCAGTCCACTCTCCTTGGTTGCCAGGTTACATCTATGTTGCACAGACCATTCTTTCTATATTATCGATGGCTAGACTTTTTCCAGGCAGAACTCATTGTATGTGTGTGCTTCCTTTAAAAGTGCTTATGACTTAGGATATTTTTCTAAACAATTCAGAAAATTATAACAATATAATAAATATTGAGAGATTTATTATGAATTACTAATTCTGTGTGGTACTTTCCATTTGAAATAGGCAAAAGTGACTTCCTTCATTGCTTGTGACTTTTTTTTGGTGAGAATAGAGCTCATCACTGATTCTGATGTATTGCAAGAGCATGGACTTGCATATGGCAAACTATTTCTTGCTTTTGTTTTGTTTTTTATCTGATTTGTTTTGATATTTATAAGATACTAATATTTTCAGAAACATTTATAATAATGGTAATTTGGGAAAATTATGCTTCCCCCCTCCCCCAGTAACTTGGGTCATTGAAAAGATTACATATCTGGTATAACTTTCATTTTCTAAAAATACACACAGGGTAATTAACAATATTTTGTGTGAGTGTTGGTAAGACTAAAAAATAGAGTACTTTTTAGAGCAGTTTTAGGTTTATGAAAAATTGAGAAGGTAGTAGATTCTCAATATTAACATTTCATTAGTGTAATGTACGAGGTCTGTCCAGAAAAAGTCCAGGCATTGTTAATATAAAAAGAATGGTTTGTGAGACATCGATGTAACCTTGCAGCGAAGGCGAGTGGACTGGAATGCGCATGCGTGAACAATGATGGACTTTACTGAACTAGTCCTTGGGGGGTGGTACACACTGTTGAGTGAACGTGTATACTGCGTGGCCACTACATTTAAAATGACTGAGCCGGTAGAGCAATGAATCTGCATTAACTTTTGCATTAACCTTGGACATTACTCTGCAGAAACTACTCAGATGTTTCAGAAGGCCGCAGCTATGGGCAACTAGTGATTGGCAACTTCATTATGAGTGCGCACCCACTCATGTATCACATCTCATGCAGAGTGTTTTGGTGAAAAAATCAAATCACTCAGGTAACTCAGCCCCTCTACAGCCCAGATTTGGTACCCTACAACCTCTGGCTTTTCCCAAAACTAAAATCACCTTTGAAAGGGAAGAGATTTCAGACTGTCAATGAGATTCAGGAAAATATGACAGGGCAGCAGATGATGATTAGGAGAACTGTGTGAGGCCCCAAGGTGCCTACTTGGAAGGGGACTGAGGCGTCATTGTCCTATGTAACAAGTTTCTTGTATCTTCTTCAATAGATGTCTCTTTTTCATATTGCATGGCTGGATACTCCCTGGGCAGACCTCGTATTTGTCAACAATTAATGAGCCAATATTGATATAGTATTATTAACTGAAGTCCATATTAGAGTTTACTTTTTGTGTTTTACAGTTCTGTAGATTTAGCCAAATACTTAATGTCATATATCCACCATTACAGTATGATACAAGATAGTTTTACCACCTTAAAAAAAAATCCTTGGATTCATATATTCATCCTTACACTAAAATCCTGGCAACCACTAATCTTTTTGCTGTCTCTCTCTCTCTAGTTTGGCATTTTCCAAAATGACATATAATTGGGATCATGTAGAATGTAGCCTTTTTCAGATTAGCTTCTTTCACTTAAGCAATAAAAACTTAAGGTTCCTCCATGTTGATTTGTAGTTTAATAGTTTTTTTTTTTTTTAAATTGTGGAGTACATTCCATTATATGGATATACCACAGTTTATCCGTTTACCTTTTGAAGGACATTTTGGTGGCTTCCAGTTTTTGGAAATTATGCATAAAGCCACTATAAATATTTATATTCAGGCTTTTGTATGAACATAAAGTTTTCAACTCATTTGGGTAAATACCTAGGAGTCAGATTGCTGGATTAAATGGTAAAATCAAGTTGAGCTTTGAAAAAAGCTGCCATACTCTCTTCTAAAGTAGCTGTACCAGCAATAGTGTATGACAGTTTATAATATTGTAGTCTATAATATTGTAATAACTATGCATGATATCATATGGGTGCTAGACTTATTGGGGTGATCACTTCATAAGGTATGTAAGTATCTAATCACTATGTTGTATACCTGAAACTAATATAATATTGTAGTCAACTTTAATTGAAAAATAATTAGAAAAAATAAATATAGTAGCTGTACTATTTTGCATTTTCTCCAGTAATGAAAGGGAATTCCTGTTGCTTCACATCATCATCAACAATTGGTATCATCAGTTTTTTGGATTTTAGCCATTTTGATAGATATGTAATGGTATCTCATTGTTTTCTTCTGTTCATATTTAAATTGAATTGTTAGTTTTCAAATTGTTGTAAGAGATCTTTTTTTTTAATTGATTGATTTTGGAGAGGTGGGGGTAAAGAGAGATAGACAGACAGACAGACAGACACAAAGAGAAACATCGATTCGTTGTTACATTTATTCATACATTCATTGGTTGATTCTTGTATGTGCCCTGACTGGGATCGAACCTGTGACCTTTGTATATCTGGATGATACAATACTTTTGTAGTAGCCCACAAATTTTGATATATGAGTATTGTATTTTTGTTTTCATTAAGTTAGAAATATTTTAAATATTTCTCTTGAGACTACTTCTTTGACCTTTGTGTTATTTAGAAATGTGTTGTTTATCTCCCAAGTATTTTAGGTTTTTCCATGTGTTGTGTTATAAATTTCTAGTTTAATTCCATTATTGTCTGAGAGCATACTTTGTAGCTTGCTTTTTCTTTCTTTCTTTCTTTCTTTCTTTCTTTCTTTCTTTCTTTCTTTCTTTCTTTCTTTCTCTCTCTTTCTTTTGAGAGAGAGACATCATTGTGACTGAAACATTAATGTGAAAGAAACGTCAGTCGATTGCCGGCCATAAGCATCCCAACCTGGATAACCCGCAGTCTAGGCTTGTGCCCTGACTAGGAATTGAACCCGCAACCTTTCAGTTTTTGGGATGACGCTCCAACCAAATGAGTCACACTGGCCAGGGCTAACTCCTATTCTTTTAAATTTATTAAGATGTGTTTTATGGTCCAGATGTTGTCTATTTTAGTGAATGTTTCATGTGAGCTTGAGAAGAACGTGTATTTGTCTGTTGGATAAATGTCAATTTCATCCAGTTGATTGAAAATGCTGTTCAGTTCAACTATGTTCTTACTCATTTTCTGCCTGCTGAATCTGTCCATTACTGGTAGTGGGTGTTGAAGCCCCCAAATGTAATAGTGAATTCACCTGTTTCTCCTCACAGTTCTAACTATTAATGGAGCAGCATGAATGAGTGATATCACTTGTACCTTTCAATATTATGGTGTAATTTAACTAATGAAAGGTAATATAGGGTAACCTTAGGCTAAGTATAAATGTGCTTACATGTCTTTTAAACTTATTTGTCAGATTCTTAAAGACTTAATGTTCATCTTTTTGTTAATGTGGTTTTCTTAAACATAGATAACACCACATTTGCTTTAACTCATAGTCTTCTTTCAAAGTATTGTAGTTTGATATTTCAGTTAATTTAAAGGATACTTAACACTGTTGTTGCTTTTAAACTACTTGCTAGTTTTTTGGAGTAACTCTTATTTAGTTCTTTTAACTGCCCTTATTGGAAGCTCTTAGGAGAGGGGTGATCCATTTTTTGGACCAAAAGAGCGCAGTTGCTGTAATGTTTTTGGTGTAGCATAACACTGATATTTACCCAGCCTCAAAAGGTCCAGAACAACTACTTTTATAGGTACTTTTCAGTTGAAAAAGTACTTTTTGCCCTGGCCGGCTGGCTAAGTTGGTTGGAGCATTGGCCCATACACTAAAAGGTTGTGGGTTTGATCCCCAGTTGAGGTGCATACAAGAGGCAACTGATGTTTCTCTCTCTCTTTCTCCTCCCCCTTCCCTCCCTCCTTCCCTCCATCCCCCCATCCTCTTTCTTTAAAATCAATAAACATATCCTTGGGTAAGGATTAAAAAAAGTGCTTTCTCATCTTATTTAATTCCAGCACTGAGCCAGAAAGTTATTCCTTCCTTCCTTCATCTAAATTGCAAATTTTTCATATCGTATCTCTGAAATGACAATGCATTTTATAATTGCTAACCAGTTATAGTTTAATTGGCTGTTTTTTTCCCTTAATGGTACATTAAATAATGGTTTATTTTACTAATCTACAGAGTCTTAGATTCAATGAAATACCTTATTACTAGTATTATTATTATTATACTAATTTACAGATGAAGAAACTGAAGTCAGAGTACTAAATGATATTTCCAGAGTCACATAGCTGGTTCATTCTAAAGCTGGAAGTAGGCTTTTGATATCAAGGACCATTTTCCTCACTAATGTAACAAACTTTGTTATAAGAATTTTCTGGGGATATACATGGGCACCCATCATCCAGAAATTTAGATTCACTATGTCTAGGGCAGGGCTCAGGAATATGCATTTAACAATCTCTCCTTCCTGTATTCTTTAAACACACTCTGAGAAGCCCTGCGTTACACCTTTAAGTATCAACTCAAACACTTCTTGCTAAAAGAAGCTTTAATTGACACACATTGTCATCAATAGCCGTGCCCTTCAAGTGTTTGTTAGTGATGAGGTTAAAGTACTTGATACTACTTTTACAAGAAGTCTAGGAAGCCCCAGAACAAAGTTGTATAGCAGCATAATCCCATAAAGAGGCTCTGGCAGACATCACTAATGTATCACAGAGGCCGTAGTATTATTTTAATACTGAGCCCTGGGCCACGACTGTCAGTCAAACACAGGTGAAGCCTATTTGCCATTACTGCCCTGGGCTTTTTGAACAGTATATATAAATTTAAGGGAAAATAAGCTTTCCCCCCCTGCAGTTGACTGCTTATATGTCACAGAGAGTTGCGTTCGCACTTAGTTTTGCTATACTGCGAGTGCCCAGGATGCACGCTGGTTGCCGCCGGAAGGGCTCCTTCCTGTGCTTTGCTTAGAGCTCTTTGGTGCTGTGGTTGAGGTGTCTGGCATTATTGCTGCCACCTACCTGGTGAACAACAATAGCTCGCCCTGGATTGCCTCTACACGATTTGGTGCGATCAGCTTCTCCATTAATATCATGTAAAACTTCAAATAAGATTTTAGTAAGATGAATAAAATCTGAGCGTTTTCTTTTGGGTTTTCATGCATTTCTAATTTTTTTCTACTTTTTATTGGGTAGGTTGGGGATTGGTTTGCTCTTTGACATAGCAGTAATTGTGTGTAGGAAAGGAAATGTTAATTTGGGTATTCTAGGGTAGCCACCTTAATTATTTTTTCTAACTTATTACACACCAATTTAATCTAGAAAATGATTTTACATCATCATTTCTAACTCCACCTCTTCCATGCAACTTCCTACATTCAGAAAAATTAAAATTGCATTCTCACATTACTAACACCTTTGTTACATTTATTTTCCAGACTCTATATTTTTGGCATTTACTTTGATTTAATTGGGTATTTTTATTAATTAAGGGGTAATTTTGTAGTTACTGATTTATCATTAAGCCATAAATTTAAAGTGACAATATAATCCAAATAAATCTATTTTGGCTGAAAAACAAATTAAGATACTGTTCTTATGTGTAAAAAAAAATACGTACTTTAATTAATAAATACTTTATTGCTAAAAAATGATATCATCTGAGTCCTGAGCAAGTCATAGTTCTTGCGTTGGTGGAAGGTCTTGCCTCAATGTTGATGAAAACGCATTATGTATGAAGTGCAGTAAAATGAGGTGTGCATGTAGTTTTAAAACTGGAGTCTTCATTTAATGAACAGATTTCTTTCCGCAGGCCATTTTACAACCTGTGTTGGCTGCAGAAGATTTTACTATCTTTAAAGCAATGATGGTCCAGAAAAACATTGAAATGCAGCTTCAAGCCATTCGAATAATTCAAGAAAGAAATGGTAAAATGCTGAATTTAGAAATCTAAGTGCTAAATGCTTTTTGCAGTTTTACTATTCTGGTTTTAACATGATCTTAAGTGTATCTGCTTTGTATAAATTTATATCAAGTTTGAAAGTCTATGGCTGATTCAAGAGATTCAAGAATGTAAAATTCCTGATCAGTGCGTGTTTGACGTCTCGAAAGCAGACCAGAATTTGACTTAAAGATGATTTAAGTTTCAGAGAACTTGATTCTTCTGCCCAGCCATTGTGTCTATGAAATTCAATATTTTTGAGTGGTCACAGTTGTTGTTACTGTTGAGAGAATGTGACCACTCTTTTGGCTTATCATTGTTAGCGCCTTTGTTGTGGGCAGTGGATAGTTGAGATTGTACCACCATCAGGTGGAAAAGAAAAAAACTCAGAGCCATGGTAACCCTCAAGCTGTGCTTAATCTGTTTCTCTAGCTCTTCCTACCTTTTTCCTTTCCCTTCCTGTGTACTTGAACAGCATTTGACACCTTGACCGAGTTTCTAACCATACTTGTTATTGTACTACCTCCTTTTCAACCCTGATTCTTACCTGTTTCGGATTTCTGGCTCTGGTAACCTGACCTTAACTTATGTCTGCCTTTGCTCAATAGATTTCCATGATATTCTTTACTCTGCCTGTGTACTCTTGAATGGTTTGGCAGCAGGACCTTTTCTTTGATTGTTTCTCGAAGATATGAGAGCTATAGTTCAGTTGTACTGTTTGCTTTTAAGGGTCTGGAACAAGCAACAACAGGGCTTCCGTTGTCTCAGGGAAAACTTTAGAATGTTGCAGGGCCCTCCTTGTGGATTCTCCTCTCATTTGTCTGGTGTGAGTAGAGGTTCAATCCCTTAGAACAAACCACCACCATAATGTCCCCTGAAATCCTAAGATGTTTTTCACCCTGTTAAGAAAGCTGTTGTCTGTGGCCAGGAGATAATGCCACACTCAGTCCTGAATGGTGCCTGACAGAGTGCTGTTGCTTTGGTGTAAAGAAGTTTGGAAAACAGTCTGTTTCTCTTCATCTTTCTACCATAGTTTGCTTCATAAAATCTTTTTCTCTGAATTTTCCTCAAACTATACTTTATTCTCACCTATGGGATAGAGAATTTGAATCATTATTTTCTGTTAGTTAAAATTGATTTTTTTTGGGCGGGTGTCATTTTTGGTAAGAGAAATAGTGAACTTGGTGTTAGCAGAAAACCTAAATGAAAGTGGCTTAAACATTAAAAAATTAGGACTCATGGACAAAGACAGCAGTGTGGTGTGATTGCTCGGGGGAGGGAGGTAAAAGGGGGCTAAATAAATGGTAAAGGGAAAAAATACAGTAGAGATTAAATTAAAGAAAATAAGAAATTATCATTTCACAGAACAAAAAGCCCAGAGGAAAAGAGGGAAGGAAGAAAGGTCCAGCGTTGGTTAATTTAGTGGCTCAGTGGTGTTATCAAGGACCTTGATACTTTCCATCTTTATACTCTCCTATTCTGAGGATCTTCTCTCATGCTTACACTTTGGCTGCATCGAATGCAGACTCAACAATATCTCATAAGGAAATGTTTCTTCCTGTACATCTTTTTGTTAGCCAGACAACACTTTCATGGAAGGTCCCCAGGAGTTTTCCCCTCAGGTCCTATCCATCAGAATTGGGGTCACAGGCCTTGATTAAACCCTCCAGCAAGGGAAATGAGGTAATTATGACTGGCTTAAACCAATAACAGCCACTCTCAGGAGCTGGGTAGGGCAGAGCCCCACCCCCAAGTACTTGGCTGCCTGCTAACTGCACACACCTGGCTTGAGTTAGCAGGGGAGGGGAATGCCGTGGAGTAAAGACTGCAGGCTGGGACAGTTTGCTTACATTTGCACATAAACTAATACTTCGTTTCTGCCACAGAATTTTTAATACAATATATTTAAGAATGTCGCTTAACTTAGGTCCAGGGACGAGGACTTTAGAGCTAAGTTGATTGTACTCAAAACTGCAGACCATTTGAAAATTGTCTTTGTGGTATGAAAAATTCAAAAGCTCTCTGGATTCATTGTTGTACTTTATCAAAGAAGTTGGGGGAAATGCAAATCAGAGCATTATTTTGATGATTTTGAAGAATTGCATACTGTTAACATTATTCTTTTCATTTTCCTTATAAAGGTTATTATGAGAATACTAATTGTGTATCTTTTGACTTAGCAAAAATGCATTTAAGATTCTGGGTTGCATAAATGTCAATTTTATGGTTGTGATTCTGTACTATGATTTTGCAAGATGTTACCATTGGGAGAAACTGGGTAAAGAGTGCATAGCATCACTCTATTATTTCTTGCAACTGTGTGTGAAACTGCTATTATCTCAAAATAAAAAAGTTTAATTAAAAATGCACTTTAACATCAAGGGTATTGGAATAATAAAGCTACTTTAATTTAGAGCAAATTTAAAATCCCAAAGTCATATGTGGATAAAGAAATAGAAAGTAAAAATTTCACAAGTGTTGCTGATGTCATGAGAGTATAATTATAGATATAAACAGAACACTTATTACCAGTCTACCTGCTTATCAGGAAGATACAGGTAATAAAGTAAATTAAATCAATACTTAAAATTACTTGTCATGAATTATTATTTGCCCTAGCTTATAGTTACTAGCCCAATATCTGCATAGAAGCTTCAAGGACAGAGATTGTTTTATTCATCTTTATATTCTCCCTAAGTGCTTAGTACTAAGCTTTTTTGCATGAAGTAGGCATTCTTTCAGTAGCCTCTTTCAGTAGCATTTGTTGTAGTATAAATGAAGAGTATTAACATGCTATTTCAATTAACAAATTATTTTACATTTTATTTTGTTAAGTCTTCCTATTTAAGGGATTTTTTGAGAGCATAGTTTCATTAGTAGGAGCTTATTGAATTCAGTGGTATATCCTCTGATAGTTATGATTATGGAAAATAATAGCTTAAATTATTTTTTACTACCATGTATAATTATTATTTTAATAGGCAATACAAATAAGAGACACTGCTAGGTAAAATTGTGGGGGTTATTTTTTAGGGGGGAGCTGATTCCCTAAAACAAGAAAAAGAAAGTGACAGATATTAATAAATTATTTTGTACTTCTTGATGAACTAGCATAGTGAGAAATAAATGTTGTCACTTGAGTTGATATACTTTTGTGTGGTCCTTGGTTTTGAACAGGGGTCTTACCTGACTGCTTAACCGATGGTTCTGATGTGGTCAGTGACCTTGAACAGGAAGAGATGAAAATCCTGAGGGAAGTTCTTAGGTATCCTTCTTTAATTATTTTCTTGAATGAATCAGAATTTTGTAATATGACTCATATGTATGCTTTTCACCCATAAAATACTATTAACTAGTGAAATATCTAAATTCTCTGCTGGAGACGAGGAAAGTGATTTATTATTTTATTTGTTTATAACTATGTGTATGTTATATTTCTTAATGGACAGCAACAGTTATTTTCAGATGACTCATAGCAGATCAGTGTAAATGGGAGTGTCTTCTCCCCAGGTGGGAATAGGAAGTTAAATGGGAACAAGATGCGGCAGATCCATGCCTGGAAAGGGGTATAGTGGCCTGAGCTGACCAGGAAACTCCATGGCTTCTGGGTGTCAGTGTTAGAGGTGGCTCAAGCCACGTGTCTCCCAGTAGGAGACGGGACATCCAGACTCCACAGACCAAATAGCTGACTGGGTGGCAGATCACCTGCAAGGGAAAGAGGACAGTGGGGAGTGCCCATCCCAGATGACTGTCTTTCCCACCTCCTCCTCGCCCCGGTTACATGATTCTCAGCAAAACGCCTGGCATGGAGTATGCAGGCCACTAAAGGGGCATTTCTTTTTTTCCTTGGGTCTGTTGTCCCGACCTCTATGGTAGTTTTGCAAGGGAGGGGCAATTGCAGCACCTAATTTTTAAGTCTGAGAGAATGTTTAGGTTTGGGCAAAGGACACCTGCAGCCGCTGTGTCACCTGTAGAATGGTGCCTTGCCTTTGGGGGCCCGTCCTCTCTAGCCATAACCACAGATCTTTTAGCATCCGGTTGTCCCTCCACCTACTCACCTTGTCCCCAACTCCAAAGCAGAAGGCAGATAGGCTGATTGGTGGTAAGGAGCCCTAGGAGTCATTGTTTAACCTCAAGGGATTTGAGTGGTTGTGGGGAGGGAGGCAGGTGTGCAGGTGAACCTAGATTTTTCCTATCTGATCCTACATTCCATGGCAGGGGCAAATAGGAGCCTGACTCACCACAGAATGCTTTGAGTTTACAGTTTTGAAGAGGTAAGGATATTTGGTAATAGGTTTAGAATACTGGTAAAGTTTTGACTTATACTGTTTGCTCCTGTTGGTTGATTGGCGGTCTGGGAAGCTGTCAACATTGTACTTTTAGATTTTATTTTCTAAGGGCTTTTGAGGGATGTGACTACTGTAGTAGAGCCTAGTTATGAGCACTTGGAGAGTTGACTGGCTATTTTCCTAAATCAGACTGCCCCAGTGAGGCAGTTTATAAAAGCTGATAAGGCTTTGCATAATGGCATTAGGGAAGCTTTGTGGTAGCTCAGGTGCTACTGGAAAAACTAGAATGAGGGGAGAAATGGATCTCCTCGGGAGGGCTGTAACTAAAGGGAGAGGTCAAAGTCTGTGTTAGTGGGATTTGCCATTCAAATTTGGGCTTAGGGTGTCAAACCTGCTGAGCTTTGTTTAGTGAGGGGTCATTCGCATTTCCAGAAGAAATGGACACGTACCTGTATTTTATATTACTAACTATATTATGCTATATAAGCCTATGTATGTCTTTCTCAGTTGATTGTAAGCTGCTTTAAGCAAAACCTGATTATTTTCATCTTTGTTTCCAAAATTTCTTGCACATATTGTAAGCTTAGGTTAGCATACTGCTTCTTGAATATTTTTTCTTTGACCAAAAAAGAATATTTACTTTTCTACCTTATTTTATATGTTTCAGAAAATCAAAAGAGGAATATGACCAGGAGGAAGAAAGGAAGAGAAAAAAGCAGGTGCCTGCAGAACATATTACTATGACAGAAGTATTTCATTGTTGTTACATCTAGTTTTTGTTGTTAAAATTTAAGCTCATGTGGAACTACGCAAGTTCTTGGAGTATTCATATTGCCTTAGCAATTCTAAGCATTTATATTTACTTTATAATTTTATTCACTTTATAATTCATCCAGCAACTTACCTTTAAATTTCTGATATAGACGGAAATTATTAACTCCAAAAAACTGTAATACCATTTATATTTTGGGGGATTCCTTATAAAAATTCCCCTTAATTTTATGTATAAAAGAAAATTAAGAAAAATATTTTATTTTCCTACTCTGCTTGATTCCTTTACTGTTCTGAAGCAGCAGCTGCAGTTACTACTGAGGGTGGTCTGCAGGCTGTAACATGATCAGCTTGAAGCAGAATGATTCAATATCGCACTTCCTGGCATACTGTCCTCCATTAAGAACTTTTTCCATAAAGTGCCTAATCTTCCCTAAAGATAAATTACACATGTATCTGGCTGAAGTGAGGGAAGCTAATATTCTTTCTTTTCTTCTAAGCTGCCTGTCTTTCCACGTATTCCCAAACCTCCCTGAAGGGAAACGAAACCTAATATAAACTCGCTCAATCACTTCGAAGTCATTTTCCTTTCTTCCCTTCAGTCACTGTAATACCTGTCTGTATCATTCACTGTCTTGGAAAAACCCATTTTACTCCAAGGTCCCCAAAGAAGGGCAGACAAAATAGAGGTGTTTTAGGATTAAAAGGTGATACATGTATCTTTGAAGGAAATCTCTTTTTAGTAAATGAAAGTGAAACTCATAGATATTAATAAAGACTTTTTAAAATTAAGGGTATAGAAGAGAAAACAGTCCAAAACTGTTATCAGAAGACATTAGTATTAACTCTGATTTATAAACAAACTCTATTAGGCTTCTTGAATAATATATTTTAGGAGCATATGGTTTTTAAAGACTTTTGGTTATGGAAAAGTTTAAACACACAGAAGTGGAGGTGATAATAATAATGAATCTTCATGTAGCTGTCATTCAGCATTTAGGGGCTTATGATTTAGATAACCATGAATTACCTAAGAAGCTACATGTAATTAGATTTTCCTGTATTTTTAAGGAAAAATAAATTATCAGTTTACTTTGTTCTCTCCAAGATTTAAATGATGTCTTTGGTTTAAATATGCTATCCCATTTTAGAAATGGAAATACAGCAATATGTGGCTTTTTCAGGCATATCATAGTACTGGTATGTAGATTATCTTAAGAGGAAAAGCACCTTATAATTCAGTGGTTTTATATCTCTTAAGAGTATTTCTTGGTGTCTTGCTCAAGATCACATGTATAGCAGTGTACAGCCTGAGTTTGAACCTATTTCTTGCCCAGTCTGAAGTCCTAATCATACTAGTTGGTTAATCTTAGCACTACATGATTTGAAATGGAATGTTTACCTACCTTAAAAAGTGGAAAATATAAATTACTGGAAACATCTTAAAAACTTTGGAGAGAGAGAACAGTAACTTTTTAAAACTAATGTCTTTGGATCTCTTAAGAAGTAAATTAGTCAAAATTAATCTAAAATGTATTTTTCAATTGTATTATGGCATCCTGAAGTTATCAGAGGCTAAAACCGAAGAGCCCCCAGTGCACGTCAGTGAAACTGCAAAAATGAATAGTTCCCAAGGGGATGGTGAACATTTTGCACAGCCACCCTCAGGTAAGCTTGAAGTGTTACTAAACATTTTCTAATAATATGAATACATACAGATTGTAAAGATGTGTTACTTTCCCATCCATGCTTAACCTTTAAAAACCCCAGGAGGGAGTGTTGAATGGCCATTGGTATTTAAAGTTCTTTGTGAATTTAGCTAAAAGAGGTTGTAGCTAGGAAATACCCAGCTGATAGAAATGGTGCAGTCCCCAAGGTTCTAAGTGAAACCTGGAACCCCGGGCAGTGAGGGAGCCACCAGCCTTTGGTACCAGAACTGCAGCATCCGAGATAATGTATTCACATAACACTTGGTATTCTCACCGTTGACCACAGTTATTTGGTAAGTAAGAAGCTAAACTTGGAAAAATGGTATTATCTTCCAAGTAACTTAAAGCAGATCTAGCATATAAGAGGTAGCTTATTTATCTAGATATTTAGTCAGAAACTATTGTTGAAAGCAAAATCAATGAGAATCCTTGTGGGAAATGTTAGCAGATGAAATTGTTAATATGTGTCAAATCTACTTTCAATATACTGTTTTCTTTATATGAAAACAAGTAATTCTGACTCTGGCTGGCGTGGCTCAGTGGACTGTTGGTTCGATTCCCAGTCAGGGCACATGCCTGGGTCGTGGGCAGGTCCCCAATAGGGGGCACATGGGAGGCAACCACACATTGATGTTTCTCTCCCTCTCTTTCTCCCTCCCTGTCTAAAAATAAATAAATAAAATCTTTTTTAAAAAAAAAAGAAAACAAGTAATTCTGAAATAGAAATTGAATCATGATCATGAATTTAGTTCATTTTATCTTGGATTTATATGGTTTCAAATAAATATTATTTTCTCAATTAAAACATAACTCTAGTTTGTTTTTTATTATTATGTGAAGTAGATATTATGATGTTTCCCCTTTTAAAAAAAAACAAAACAATAAATTCAAGGAAATTGAGTGACTTGTCCAAAAATCCCTAAACTCTTAAATGGTGAAACTGTGACTTACCTTGGTCTTCTGACTTGTGACTTCAGATCTTGTGTTCTACACTTTAGTTTAGAAGAACTTGTTCTATTTTTTTTAAAATGAGTATTTCTGACTTCCAGTTAAGATGGAGGCATAGGTGGACATGCTTCTTCTCCTTGCACAACCACAGACAGAATTACAACTAAACCTCAAAACAAATAATACCCAGACCTGTCAGAAAATCGAACTGGTGTGGAAGTCTGACAACCAAGGATTTAAAGAAGCCACACTCATCCAGTCTGGTATGAGGGGCAGAGAGGTGGTAATGGACAGAGAGGCAAGGAGACATGGTGTGGTGCGGAGAGGCGGGGGCAGCGGAACGGGTGTTCCCCCATTCATATGTGGCGGATAAAAATCGAGAGGGATACCTTGGGAGCAAATGATCCCAGCCCCAGCCCAGACTACACAGCCCAGGGTTCCAGCTCTGGGAAGATAAATCCCCATAACCTCTGGCTGTGAAAACCAGGGAGTTTGGGGTGGTGGAAGGATCTGCTGGATTTTCAGGAGATTCTGCTTAAAGGGCCTGCAGAGTCTTAGAATGCACAAAAACCTGTGCACTCTGGGATTAAGCACCAGGACAACAGGCTGAAAAATGCTGCCAGTCGCATATAGGGAGTGGAAGTGACTAGAAATGGGGTGAGTGCCAGGCAAACCTCCAGAAGGAGCTCTCCTCCCACACAGAGCCACAGAAGTGTGAAGCAGGTTGTCCTGCCCTAGAGATTACCTAAGGCTCCGCCCCCACACAATTTACAGGTGCCTTTTCTACTATAGGCCATGTTACTAAGGCAGGGAGGCAAAGCAGCTCTGCTTAATACACAGACACAAACACAAGGAGGCTCCCAAATTGAGGAGACATAGAAATATGGCCCAGATGAAAGAACTGAACAAAACCCCAGGAAAAGAACTAATTGAAATGGAGATAACCAAACTATTAGATGTGGAGTTAAAAAAACTGGTGATCAGGATGCTTAAAGAACATATTTGAGTATGGCAACAACATAAAGGAAGAAATGAAGTTTACACTAATTGAAATAAAGGAAAATCCACAAGGAGCCAACAGTGAAGGGAAGGGAGCCAGGAATCAAATCAATGATTTGGGACATAAGGAAGAAATAAGCATTCAACCAGAATAGCAAGAAGAAACAAGAATTTAAAAAAATGAGGATAGTACAAGAAGCCTCTGGGACATCTCCAAATGTACCAATCTGAATCAGGGATGCCAGAAGGAGAAGAGGAAAAGAAAGAAAGTGAGAACTTATTTGAAAAAATAATGAAGGAAAATCCCTAATTTGGCAAAAGAAATAGACATATATAAGTCCAGGAGGCACAGAGAGTCCCAAACAAGCTGGACCCAAAGAGGACCACACTAAGACACATCATAATTAAAATACCAAAAGTTAAAGATAAACAATCTTAAAAGCAGCAAAAGAAAAGCAGAGAGTTACCTACAAAGGAGTTCCCATAAGACTCTCAGCTGATTTCTCAAAAGAAACTTTGCAAGAAGGGACTGGTAAGAAGTATTCAAAGAGATGAAAAACAAGGACCTACAATCAAGATTACTCTATCCAGCAAAGCTGTCAATTAGAATGGAAGGGCAGATAAAGGGCTTCTCAGACAAGATAAAGCTAAAAGTTCATTATCACCAAGCCATTATTACATGAAATGTTAAAGGGACTTATTTAAGAAAAAGATCAAAGCTATGAACATTAAAATGGCAACAAATTCACAATTATCAACAGCTGAGTGTAAAAAATCAAACCAAGCAAACAACTAGAACAGGAACAGAATCACAGAAATGGAGATCACATGGAGGGTTATTAGTGGGGAGGGAGAGAATGAGGGAAAGGTGCAGGGTTTAAGAAGATAAGTGGTAGGTACAAAATAGGGGGATGTTAAGAATAGTAAAGGAAACGGAGAAGCCAAATAACTTATATGCACAACCCACGGACATAAACTAAGGGGGATATTGCTGGAGGGAAGGGGGAGTACCTGGGCAGAAGCGGGCGAAGGGGAAAATTGGGACAACTGTAGTAGCATATTCAATAAAAAATATTTTTAAAAGAGTATTTCTGATGTTCCAGAAAACATACACATTAATGGAAACCCATTATGAAGACCTAATTTAGGAGGAATGATCCTTTTCTCATATCTTTTCCTGGTTCCTGCTGGGAGTGGGTAGTGTCTGTCCTCAGATTAACACAAAGAGTTGCTAGAGATGAGATGCTCTTCTTTTAAAGTTGCTGGCTTTCTGATTCTCCATTCCTAGAAGTCAGAGAAGCTGAGTAGTTTGGCTTCAAGTACTTTCCTCTCTGGATCTGAGTTAGAATATACAAGATGATCATGACCAATTAACTCAAGGCAACAACTATTCAGAGCAAGTACTTGAGTTGAATATAAATGCTTAAACACCTGGGATTCCCCACCTCCGATATGAATTGAACAGTCCCTTCTCCAGCTCTGGAGTTTCCATAGGTAGAGGGAGTTATGTCTACCTCTGCTTCAAGACTAATATATTTAAGCTCATCTTTATTTCTGTTTAAGGTAGTCCTGTAGCCCCCTGGCTAGGTTGGTTGGACTGTTAGGTCCAGGCTCATCTTCTGCACTGAGACTTCTGTCCGAGAGCCAGAAGAGCTTTTCTTCCAGCCTCCCGGGCCCTGCGGCCGGCGCACTCGCTGCGTGCTGAGCACTGCTCCTATGGCAAGCTTCTTGTTCATGCAAAGTTCTAGTTTAGTTTTACTATGCTGGCAAGATTTTTTAAAAAGATTTTATTTATTTATTTATTTATTTATTTGTAGAGAGAGGGAAAGGAAGGGAGAAAGGGACAGAAACATCGATTTGTTGCCTCTTGCAGGTCCCCAGTTAGGGACCTGGCCTGCAACCCAGGCGTGTGCCCTGACCAGAACTCAACTGGTGACCCTTCATTTGGCAGGCCAGCACTCAATCCACTGAGCCACACCAGCCAGGGCAAGATTTTTAATCATTTGGAGACATGTATAGTATGTTCTCCCATTATGCTTTTAGTTCTTGGCATCATTTTTATGTGAATTTTTTTGTCCCATTCTGCTGTCTTTTATAGATCATGTCCTTACACTGAAAATGTGTTACCTTAAAAAAAATCAACTTATAATAGAAAATGGTTCAGAAAAGCAGTTAGCATGCTATTCCTGTCTCCCTCTCTTTTTTATCCTCACCAGAGGACATGCTTGTTGATTTTAGACAGAGAGGAAAGGAAGGAGAGAGGGAGAGAAACATCCTTGTGAGAGAGAAACATCTATGGGTTGCCTCTTGCATTCACCCCAACTGAGAACTGAACCCACAACCTAGGCAAGCGTCCTGACCAGGATTCAAACCCTCAAACTTCTGGTCTGTTGGGACAACGTTCCATTGATTCACACCAGCCAGGGCAGTCTGTTCTGTTGGCACAGGAATCAAATAACTGGAAAGTACTGAGTGCTCACGTTATATCTGCTCTCCAGTTCTACTTTAAAATCTTTACATTTTCTTAATACATTGGTAGGTTCATGGTTATCATTAATATGTATTACAAACAAAAATTATTGGTATTACTGGCACTCCTCTGCTAGGAAAAATTGTAACTTTACATTAATGGTTCTAAAAATATAGGGTCACTTACAGTTTTTACATGTAAGCAAAAATTTGGAAACCAATTATAAGAGATATTAGTACTGTTTATTTGGCTTATGTGGCCACTTTCTATTACATTATCATGGAGTTCTAATCTTTAGATAAGAATTATATCTTTTTGTAGCTATTGTATCAAACAGCAGGAGTTTGGTATTTGTTGAAATGTCATTATTTGTAAGAAACTGTGGTCCTTGGGGACAGAGACCATGTTTACTGTTCTCACCCAGTACCTGGCACAGTGTAGGCAGAAAAAACAAGTACTATTCTATTTTATTTCCATTTTTTAAAAGATTTATTTTAGAGAGAGGGGAAGAGAGAAAGAGAGGGAGAGAAACATCAATGTGCGAGAACATTGATCGGTTGCCTCTCGTATGTCCCCAAGCAGGGATCTCGCCCTTAACCTAGGCATGTGCCCCTACTGGGAATTGAACCAGTGACCTTCCGGTTTGTGGGATGATGCCCAACCCAATGAGCTATACCAGTGAGAGCAAAAAAACAAAACAAAATGAGTACTATTAATACAAGCTCATTTTGGTGAATCTAGCCTAATACTTAACATCTTTTATTTGGTCTCTAATTACTGCCAGAAGTTAAAGTGCATTTTGCTAACCAGTCAGTGCAACCTTTCGCAAGAAAGCTGGAAATGTTGCCTGAAACTTCCTCGCTCCCAGAAAAAGGCCTGAAGATTCCTGGCTTTGAACATACAAGCATTGAAGGACCAATAGCAGTAAGTAAAGAAACATTACTTCTTAGACCTATGAGCAAGATGAAAAAGTATTAGGAATAAGCAATGTAAAAACAGTCATATGCTTAGCTTTTGTTATCATCTTGAACTCAGGCTTCAAATTGGATCAGTCAGATGTGCGTGCCAGTTATTATATGGACTTGAATTTAAAATGGTTTCTTTTCTTTTTGACTCAGAATTTATCAACCCTTGGAATGGAAGAGCTCCGGCAACGAGAACACTATCTCAAACAGAAGAGAGATAAGTTGATGTCCATGAGAAAGGACATGAGGACTAAGCAGATGCAAAATTCAGAACAGAAGGAAAAACCTGCTGAGGAGGTAGAGGTATGGCTAAGCTTAGGATTTCAAAATTTTAAGTCTGGAGGTGGAATTTTCAAAATCAGTATTGTGGAAGAAAGCCTTAACAATGAACACTGTGCGTAGATACATTCAGATTAACCTCCCTGCTGGCGTGGCGCCTGCCAAATTTTTTTCTAGGCGGTGAGATCGTTGTGTAATGAGGATTTTGTGAGGCAGAAAGGAAAACAGTCTCATTATACATTTTATTTCTTTACTTGCCCTATTCCGAGTACTTCAGGGTCAGCAGTCTGTTTCACCTGAGCCTTCTGAACTATTTTATCATAGAGCAGCATCAACATCCTCGCTACCAGCTCCAAGAGGCTTCCCCAAGAAGAGATTTTTACAATGAAGAGATTTAGAGAACTTAGTCCATGTGTGACTTTTAAAAATTTTTCACTGAAAATGCTGTTTGTTCCAGGCAGTATGGTGAGAATTTAAGACAAACGAACCCATCTTATACAGTAGCCAATTTTTTCTTTCTTTCTTTCTTTTTTTAAGGAAATGACAGAGAAACCAGAAATGACAGCAGAGGAGAAGCAAACATTACTAAAGAGGAGATTGCTTGCAGAGAAACTTAAAGAAGAAGTTATTAATAAGTAAATTTACAACCAATTTATCAAAACAAATTCAAATTTTCTTTAAAATAAAGTATTTAATCCTTTCACTGAGCCTGCTAGTTTCTAATACATGTGCTTGTAAGTGTAAATATAAGCTCCTTATTACTGTTTTATTAAACATGTAAGATCAAGAATGGTTGGGGAAAGCAGCTACTTACGCTGACCAGTTTAATATAAATTTCTGAATAACGTTTCTTGGAGAGAAGGTATAGAAAACCAATTGATAGGGCATTCTTTCATTCAAACCTGTTTCTGCTAAGTATCTTGCTAAATACAAAGGATACAATAGTGAACTAGATTCACAGGGTCCCTGCGTTTGTGGGGCTAGTGAAGAGGCCCAAAGAACAGTTATATAAAGAAAAAGTGCATTGTTATAAGCAGGGCTGGCAACACCTCTTTGAGGAAGCATTGTTTATACTGATTGGAAAGCTAATTGAAGGGAGAAAGGGGAAAGAAACCACTCAGGTCCTGCAGCAGGAAATAATAAAGCACACACCAAGGTGCTGTCGGTATGGCTGGAGTGTACATGCATGTAGAATGAGAGGAGAGGGTTAACATGGAATTGGAAATAAGCAAGGTACTGATTTGCAGGCTCTTGTTGGCAATGTGAGATTTTAAATTTTATGGCACTTGGAAGTCACTGAAAAGCTCTCAAGCAGAGAAGTTACATGATCATAATGTTCATTTTAAAAAAAGATGTGACTGCTCTGGAGACTATTGGGTAAGTTGGGTATTAGAGTACTTGTGGGTATACCGGGTGTCAGGTAATTCAATGGTAAGAGTAGTCATCTTGGGCAGTGGTAAGATAGAGTTTAGCATCTTGCATTTGAGGCAGAAGCAAACAGGACTTGGGAAAGAGATCGGGGGTGGGGATGTTAAAAATACTCAATTACTCTTTCTAGAAAAAGATCTACTGAGCCTGTTGTTGAGTGTATCTTTTGAATGTGAAGGGACCCTGGATGGTTTTCCATAGTCTATTTGCTTAAAGACAACCAGAATACAGATGCTTATGATGGGGGTTGCATCCCAGTAAACCCAAGTTGAAAATAAGGTAAGTTGAAAAATGCGTTTAATATACCTAAGCTACTGGACATCATAGCCCTGCCTACTGTACATGTGCTCAGAACACTTCTACTAGCCTACAGCTGGGCAAGTATTTAAGCATCGTCTTAAGAGTAATTGCCTTTCTTTGCTTCTCATCAGAAGCAGGAGTTTGATGGATATCTTGTAGACATTACGGGATGTGAAAACAAAACAACATCCAAAAACAGTGGCAACACAGGTTATCCTTGTGATCTTGTGGCTGACTGGGAGCTGTGGCTTGCTGTGCAGCACCATGAAGAATATCATGCTGCATATCCTTAGCTGGGCTAAGACTGATGTGAGGTCGATCTGGCTGCCACATCTGTCATGACATTGATCACCAGGATTGATTTGGCTGATCGCTGGCTAGGCGGGTGTCCCCTTCCTCCCTCACCAATCCACGTGCACCCCTCGCGAAGCGGTGTGCTTGGTTGAAAGGATGACCTTCCCAACTAGACGAGAGGGCCGGTCTTCGGTCAGGAGCATACGAGTAGCTGTGCTCCTCTATTAGAACCTCCAAACAAGCTCTCAAAGCCCAGCTGAGACTGAAATTTAAAATTCGAATTATGGTTTGTACTGAGTGTGCGTCACTTCTGCACCATCATGAAGTCCAAAATGGTTAAGTTGAACCCTAAGAAGCCAGGGATGAGAAACTTTTCTTTCAGAAACTTCCTTTGTTGCGTCATCCCCTTTTTCTAGTTGGGGGCCATTCCTGAGGTTTCATTTATAATTCCATTGTATTTCCTTACATCAACAGTTATAAACTTTTTAAAAGCGATGCCAAAATTAATTTTGTTCCAAACCTTCAACCTGCAGAGAAAAACCGATATTACATGTTACATTTTCATCACTTAGTGGACAAAAGGAAAAACTGATTAGAACACAAATATTTCATGTAACTTTTTATTAAAAAGTTGTTATATTGGATACATGTTTACAGATATAATTTTAGAACCTCAGGTATACAAATGTGGGCTCTGGCTTGCTTCACTGAGTGAAGGTAAAGATAAAAATCCTAATCTGCCTGAGGGTAGTCATTTAAGAGCAGTTAACATGTAGAATATTAACAGTTATTCTTTAAGGGCTATTTTAAGTCCCATTCTCATATCACTGTGGATGAGCATATATATAACAAGAAGTGTTATCCTGTAATTCAAAAAACCATTCACATTTGTGCTAAAGAGAAAAGGTTCCTACGACAGCAATGATTTAAATGTTTAACACTCATGGCAGTCCTTCAGAAAGGAACATTAAAGAAAGTCTTCCTAAAATATAAATGTGTTGGGTTGGCTAAAAAGTTCATTTGTTTTTTCCGTAAGATGGCTCTAGTAGCGCTTAGTTGTCAAAACAATTATTAGGGTGTATTGTGACAGTTGTCATCAGTGTGTGTTTAAAAAAAATCAAAATTGGTGAATTTTGTGCAGTCATTTAAATACTGAGGATGGAAGAAAATATACAACATTTAAGGCATATGATGCTTTATTACTTCAAGGTAAAAACACAACTTAAATGCAAAAATAAAAATTTGTACAGTCTATGGAGAAGATGCTGTGACTGATCGAACATGTCAGAAGTGGCTTGTGAAGTTTCGTGCTGGGGATTTCTCGCTGGACAATGCCCCGTGGGTCTGGTAGACCACTTGAAGTTGATAGTGATGGAGACGTTAACTGGGAACAACCAATGTTATACTATGCGGGAGACAGCTGATATACTCAAAATATCCGAATCAAGTTACTGGTGAAAATGAAAAATATGTATTTTATTTTACGGAAAAAAACCATATGGATTTTTTTGCCAACCCAGTAACAGTTCCTACTGGAACTTAAAACTACTTAGGAAGAGTCCAGTAAATAGGGAAATGCTTTAGGCCTGAGCTTTTTAGATTACAAGAGGAAATTCAGTAAGAGCTAAGAAGAGTGAAGGGGCTTGATAAAACTTTTTGAAAGACAATGTATTCATATGGTAATGGTACTGATCCTGGTTTAAATTTATGTCACTTGCCTTATGTGGCGGAAGGTGTTTTTAATTTTATGTTCCTGTAATGAAAGAGGTGGTACCAAGCCCCATGTTGTGATGCTTTGGTGCTGGGACGTTATTTGCCCAAGGCACACCTTCTTATAAGTAGCGTCAGTGATATTTAAAGTGCAGTTGACCCTCATTTGTTTAGAATTCTTTCATTCAGACTGGTGTATGACCTAGTGGTTTATAATAAATATGGATAATTTATTGGCTTTTAAAAGATAATTGTAAAATGGACATACCTCAAATGGAGTTAACATATTTACAACAAACCAAACAAAAGCAACAATCATAGAATTACAGGGTCACATTTTAATTCCTGAATTTTACAGTTCATCATTAATATCACCACATGTATACAAATGATGTAAAACAAGTACAGTGGTATTTTTGATACAAAATAAACATCTGTTTTATGGAAAAACTATACTTCGTATCTACACAGACAGCCCATCTTTTCCAAACAATAGCCAAAATTAAAATTAACTACAAAATCTCCAAAATGGGGAAAACTGCTTTAGTTTAAGCTATTTCAAGAAAAATGGACCCATAACACATTACAGGGGTGATCTGAAGATAGCGGGAATTAAGATTTTTAATTTTTCCCCCAGGGCATTAAATTGTAGTTTGGGGGATGTTTTTCTCAGCATTATCTTAGATCACAGATGAACAAACTAACATTAAAATATTTACAGTTAACTTGTTCTAAAAATAAAACCTTTTAACTGTTCGCCTCAACTTATTTTAAATTCATTTACGTACATGGAATGTGCTTTTACTCTTTAAAAAAAAAAAAAAAGCAGCTTTCATATTACACCCTTGTTCGTTTATGGAAAAGCTTCATGTGTTGCACACTGCCTTGACAATAAAGTAACTTCTTGGGTCAAAATGGCCTTTAGATATTAAATTCCACTTAATTCAGCACTATTCTTTGTATGTTAGTCTTCATAAGTTACACCTTAAAAATTTCCTGCAGCTCTGGAGAGAAAGACAATTTACTAACAAAGCAGAAAGGAACCTCAAAGTATCTTCCATAAAAGATTGTACTGGTAGGCAGTTGAGAACATTCTGTTCCATCTTCCATTTCTAGAGAAAATCATTTTGTAATACTGTACTGATTCTTGGCATCTGTTATCTCTAAAAAGTGCTGATTTTAATGTTACATGAACAAAACTATTTTGAATCCAGCTTGTTTTCATCAAAATACATAGGAAAATTCCCGGTGTAGAAAACTCAATCTGTGCTGTAATACAGGGCGTACTTCTCTTTGACCACAAAGGCTGAATTTCTGTTATATCTTCAAATAAATGGTCTCAACTGCTTAACTTCATTTTTTATGATTATTGAATTTGTTTTCCACGAAAATTTCTTTTAAAAAGAGGCATTTGATTAAAAGAACAACATGGCCAGCACCATTATATATGTTATTGGGTTTTCAACTGAAGTTTTATAATTGGTTCTAATCGATACCCCCCTGGAGCAACCCTGCATTAATATTATTTTATCAACCTTGTCCCTCCCCTAAAACCGTCCCCAAACCTGAGAGTTTCCTTGCTGAGACATAGCTATCTCCCAGGGTCTGGTTACTGAACTTTTTTTTTGTTGTTGTTGACAGCCTGTAAGGCAAATCCCTTAATTACTAGCAAGCAATCAAGTTCCTGGGAAGCCTGGTTTTTTTGTAGAAGTCTCCTAGCTGATATACTGAGTGTCTTTTGCTACTCCATGTTATACTTGTAAGTTCAAGTGAGAAAGCTTTCTGATTCAGAATTTTAGCTCGCTGAACAGTTGCAGCATTTTAGTAAGACCAGATGTTTAGGGTCCCCAGTAAATTTTTTATGAGCCAAGGCGAGGTCTTTTCCTAGGAGATGTTTCTTCTTCTTCATCATCTTCTTCATCATCTGGATAATCCACTAAAC